ACGACAACCTCCTTCAGGGCCTTCTAACAAACGCAGCCCCACCACGCTCTGCTTTGGCAACTTTTTCTTGCGAGCGTATTCATATTGACGATACAAAGTGGAAAGAGACGGAGAAAAAAATACCAATAACCTGGAGAAATACATTTCCAGTGGGCACTGGCTTAGATTTGTCCTCGCAAAGGAGCGCTTCCCGATTCCGAAAGCGTCAAGGCGACACGCGCACAATCGCATAAATAAGATCTCTCTCTTGAAAAACTTCGTAAGCCCCCCACCCCGCACCACCCACACACGTGGCATGCTGAAGCTGGGTTGAGAAGAACCATTGATATCAATAAACAAAGACAGAGAGAGAGAGAGAGATGTTCCTCCTGGAGGCAGTTATGGAACGCAGATACATCTGCGGCATCGCTTCTGTACCCACTTTGAACTTCTGCCGCACCTGCACGTAGACAATAACCGGTGATCAAGCTGGTGCATTTAAATGTATTGCGTGAATTACGGTGGCTGAGTCCAGGCCCAATGGACCGAAATGGCAAGCAGCCAGCAACAAACAGCACGACTAAGCGCGTGGTAGGTAAGGGTTAATGGGTTTATTGAATTCCGATTTAAAGCTTTCGTGACTGCAGGGATTCATCTTCTTGGTTCTTTCGGTAAAGTCACGTAGAAGGGAAGTAATAAAATAATAAAAATAAAACATAATAAAACAATTCTCACGACGTTTCGGCCACAACGCAAGCAGCCGTCCTCAGGCGAAGACTGAAGCACCACTAAGCTTGGAGCGTATATTTAAGCTGGGTTAGAGGGGGGGAGGTGGGAAGAAGAGCGCCTAAACAAAATAATTTGCATATCAAGATGAATTCAGCAATACAGTATGTAATTTAATGTTGGGTTTGCCTATGGCAGTATATAGTACGGTATAGACGCGTGTGATGTAAGAGAATAAAGTTTAGATGGAAGCATATTATATAATTTTTTACAACGTAGAACATGTTTTATGTATTACTTACTGTTAGTAATTCAACTTATTGTAGAGTATAGTAAGTATACTGATGATGCTATGTAGTTTATACTTTAGTTTGTTATGCAGTTTATACTTTAGTTTTTTACGTGGTTGTTTAGTAACTGCAGCTACATACTATTAACATTCCTTTCCTTTGTTAATGCTACCCCCTCCCCCCCCCCTTTGATGCTGCTAATCCTGCATAATGCACGGGCATAGTATTGATTTGGAACCCCCCCCCCCCGCCCACCTCCTACGCATTTTCCATATGCTGAATTCCTCTTGATATGCAAATTATTTTGTTTAGGCGCTCTTCTTCCCACCTCCCCCCCTCTAACCCATCTTAAATATACGCTCCAAGCTTGGTGGTGCTTCATTCTTCGCCTGAGGACGGCTGCTTGCGTTGTGGCCGAAACGTCGTGAGAATTGTTTTATTATGTTTTATTTTTATTATTTTATTACTTCCCTTCTACGTGACTTTACCGAAAGAACCAAGAAGAGGGTTTATTGAATTGAACACGGTTAGCAAAATAAAACGATTGGGGAGAATCCCAAAGTCGAGCAATGCGAGGAAAGAAAGAGAAGAAGTGTTGTGACCTGCAGTGTGGTGAGTTGGTGAGTGGGTGAGTGAGTGAGTGGGTGAGTGAGTGAGTGGGTGAGTGAGTGGGTGAGTGAGTGGGTGAGTGAGTTAGTTGTGACGTGCAGTGTGGTGAGTTGGTGAGTGGGTGAGTGAGTGAGTGGGTGAGTGAGTGAGTGGGTGAGTGAGTGGGTGAGTGAGTGGGTGAGTGAGTTAGTTGTGACGTGCAGTGTGGTGAGTGAGTGAGTTGTTGTGACGTGCAGTGTGGTGAGTGAGTGGGTGACTGAGTGGGTGAGTGAGTGGGTGAGTGGGTGAGTGAGTGGGTGAGTGAGTGGGTGAGTGAGTGGGTGAGTGAGTTAGTTGTGACCTGCAGTGTGGTGAGTTGGTGAGTGGGTGAGTGAGTGAGTGAGTGGGTGAGTGAGTGAGTGAGTGGGTGAGTGAGTGGGTGAGTGAGTGGGTGAGTGAGTTAGTTGTGACGTGCAGTGTGGTGAGTGAGTGAGTTGTTGTGACGTGCAGTGTGGTGAGTGAGTGGGTGACTGAGTGGGTGAGTGAGTGGGTGAGTGGGTGAGTGAGTGGGTGAGTGAGTGGGTGAGTGAGTGGGTGAGTGAGTTAGTTGTGACGTGCAGTGTGGTGAGTTGGTGGGTGACTGAGTGGGTGAGTGAGTGGGTGAGTGAGTGGGTGAGTGAGTGGGTGAGTGAGTTAGTTGTGACGTGCAGTGTGGTGAGTTGGTGAGTGGGTGAGTGAGTGAGTGAGTGGGTGAGTGAGTGAGTGGGTGAGTGAGTGGGTGAGTGAGTTAGTTGTGACGTGCAGTGTGGTGAGTGAGTGAGTTGTTGTGACCTGCAGTGTGGTGAGTTAGTGGGTGAGTTGTTGTGACGTGCAGTGTGGTGAGTGAGTGAGTTGTTGTGACGTGCAGTGTGGTGAGTGAGTGGGTGACTGAGTGGGTGAGTGAGTGGGTGAGTGGGTGAGTGAGTGGGTGAGTGAGTGGGTGGGTGAGTGAGTTAGTTGTGACGTGCAGTGTGGTGAGTTGGTGGGTGACTGAGTGGGTGAGTGAGTGGGTGAGTGAGTGGGTGAGTGAGTGGGTGAGTGAGTTAGTTGTGACGTGCAGTGTGGTGAGTGAGTGGGTGAGTGGGTGGGTGAGTGGGTGAGTGAGTTAGTTGTGACCTGCAGTGTGGTGAGTTGGTGAGTGGGTGAGTGAGTGAGTGAGTGGGTGAGTGAGTGAGTGGGTGAGTGAGTGGGTGAGTGAGTGGGTGAGTTAGTTAGTTGTGACGTGCAGTGTGGTGAGTGAGTGAGTTGTTGTGACCTGCAGTGTGGTGAGTTGGTGGGTGAGTTGTTGTGACGTGCAGTGTGGTGAGTGAGTGAGTTGTTGTGACGTGCAGTGTGGTGAGTGAGTGGGTGACTGAGTGGGTGAGTGAGTGGGTGAGTGGGTGAGTGAGTGGGTGAGTGAGTGGGTGAGTGAGTGGGTGAGTGAGTTAGTTGTGACGTGCAGTGTGGTGAGTTGGTGGGTGACTGAGTGGGTGAGTGAGTGGGTGAGTAAGTGGGTGAGTGAGTGGGTGAGTGAGTTAGTTGTGACGTGCAGTGTGGTGAGTGAGTGGGTGAGTGGGTGGGTGAGTGGGTGAGTGAGTTAGTTGTGACGTGCAGTGTGGTGACTGAGTGGGTGAGTGAGTTAGTTGTGACCTGCAGTGTGGTGAGTGAGTGAGTGGGTGAGTGATTGGGTGAGTGAGTTAGTTGTGACGTGCAGTGTGGTGAGTTGGTGGGTGGGTGAGTGGGTGAGTGAGTTAGTTGTGACGTGCAGTGTGGTGAGTTGGTGGGTGGGTGAGTGGGTGAGTGAGTGAGTTGTGACCTGCAGTGTGGTGAGTTGGTGGGTGGGTGAGTGGGTGAGTGAGTTAGTTGTAACCTGCAGTGTGGTGAGTTGGTGGGTGGGTGAGTGAGTTAGTTGTGACCTGCAGTGTGGTGAGAGAGTGGGTGAGTGAGTTAGTTGTGACCTGCAGTGTGGTGAGAGAGTGGGTGAGTGAGTTAGTTGTGACCTGCAGTGTGGTGACTGAGTGGGTGAGTGAGTTGTTGTGACCTGCAGTGTGGTGAGAGAGTGGGTGGGTGAGTTGTTGTGACCTGCAGTGTGGTGAGAGAGTGGGTGAGTGAGGGTGTTGTTGTGACCTGCAGTGTGGTGAGCGGGTGGGTGGGTTGAGTGAGTGAGTTGTTGTGACCTGCAGTGTGGTGAGTGGGTGGGTGGGTTGAGTGAGTTGTTGTGACCTGCAGTGTGGTGAGTGAATGAGTTGTTGTGACCTGCAGTGTGGTTAGTGAGTGAGTGGGTGGGTGAGTGAGTTGTTGTGACCTGCAGTGTGGTTAGTGAGTGAGTGGGTGGGTGAGTGAGTTGTTGTGACCTGCAGTGTGGTTAGTGAGTGAGTGGGTGGGTGAGTGAGTTGTTGTGACCTGCAGTGTGGTTAGTGAGTGAGTGGGTGAGTTAGTGAGTTGTTGTGACCTGCAATGTGGTGGCTGAACTCAGTATGGACGAGACAAAACGGTCAGTCTAGTAGATCAAGTCTTCAAATTTGGAAGAAGAATTAATGATTGAACGTCATGGTATCTGTGACCATGGAATTTGCGGTCGAAGAGTGTCGAGGAGGCGACTGATTGCCAGTGAGTGATGCCAATAAACTGATTGATTATATTATAGGGCCTTGGTTGATTGTGGTAATAATCATCTGTTGTGTGTGTGTGACACTGAACTTGCAGGGCAATGTGGTGGCCGGTAGAAGGCAGCCCAACACGTTGGGTCCATTACCGTATCTGTGCAACATTTCTGAGCCCTTTGCTATCGCAAGCGCGGGTTCTAACTACTCTGGTTGCCTCCGACAAACACAGAATATATTGGGAAGGGATTTGGAGAGACAAACCAAGGTTAGGACCCACCTCCCACGAACGTGAGTCCGGAGAATCGTCGATGTCTTCCTGGGTTTAAGGGTAATTTAAATGCACGGATGGGGAGCAACTTTAATTCGTGTTATCACTGCAAAGGGCTATAAAGTTGCGTTCGTTAAAATTAGTGCTACTACAGATTTCGTTTAGCCACATTTATCTTGCCTGCCACTGCAGTTGACGTTCAGAGACGACCCATGCAAAATTATGGAAATTCGATTATCGATTAAACGCTGAATGCGTCGCATATCCGACCCGCACCGGGGCAACCGAGATAGAGGCAGATATCGGGAACGGTTTACAGCAGAGGTCACAAACGGGGTTTGATTCCTTACCCGCACCTGGCCGCACCAGGGTCGCAAACGGGTATCCATACCCGTACCTGGCCGGGTACGGGTAGCCGGGTATCGGGTAGGGTACGGGTATCGGGTACCCGGTTGCGACCTCTGGTTTACAGCCGCGCGCAACTACCGCGCCGGTTGTTGTTGCTGCTGTTTACGAGCGGCCGACCTGACGCAGTTGAGGATGCCCACGACCAGCAGCGAAGCGATGGCCAGGCACTTGACGACGGCGGGCGGCGCGGGGCAGCCGTGGAAGAGCGGTCGCAGGGCGTACTCGGCGAACGTGAGCGCCACGGCCGAGTTCATGGCCGGTCGCAGCAGCACCACGGATGTCCACGCGAAGAGGAACGCGAGCGGAGCGCCGAACGCGCGCCGGACGTACGCGTACTCGCCACCCGCCGTAGGCACCGCGGCACCCAGCTCGGCGTAGCAGAGGGCACCCAGCAGGGAGAGCAGCCCGCAGCCGGCCCACACGAGGAGGGCCCAGCTGGGGTCACCGCCGACGAAACGGAGGACGCCGCCGGGCGACACGAAGATGCCCGAGCCCACCATGCTGCCCACCAGCACGTTGACGCCCGTCGCGAAGCCGATGGTGCGTGCGAGTCGGACGCCACCGCTGCTGCCATCGTGGCCATCATCATCGCCGCCACCACCGCCTTCCTCCTTGGGGCTCGAGTCGGCCGCCTTGGGCACCGTCGAGATATTCTTTCTCTTCATGTTCAACGCGGGGGAGTGGGGGGGAGTGGTGCAAGCGCTCACGATCTCCTTTCTTGTATGACGATTTGTCAAACTTTGTATTTTATTTGTTTCGCTCGGTTGTTTTTACTCCCCCTATTTGTCGTCTCGTTTAATGTTTCTTGTTGTGCCAACAACATAAATTGAGCATGCTTTTGATATATATATATATTTCTATATGTTCAATTATAGGGATGTGAAATTTGCACCAAGGGCTCAGCACAGAGGAGCACGGCCGAAATCCTCACTTGGGCAAGGAGGCTATTTCCCCCCAAAATGAACGCTTAATACATTCCCAACGAAATGTGACGTTTTGGCCGAAAGGTGCCGGCCGCGGCAAGCACTCGCATCTCTACTGTAACCAACAAACATTAAGCATAACGCTTGGCGTTTAAATAGCACTGTGGCACTGCGCCGCAGGGGCTGGCAACCTGCTTGTGCAATGAGCAACGTGGGTTAAAATATAAGCGTTTTGCAGGGGCAGTGCTGTTATCATGTTGTACTTCGTCCCATCCCCCTCCCCCCACGGCTGACAGGTAGAGACCGCCACTCCTCGGCCAGTGACCCCCTTCCTCTCCCTCCCCAATGCCGACACTGACCCGACAGCAAGCAGTGTCGATGCCGATTTTTATTAACTTATTTTTGCCATGGCCAGCCCTTTGCTAGCCAAGGCCCTGTTCGGCCTGTGTCGACCCACGCAAACTAAGATGATTATTTAAGGGATGCCTGCAATAAACGCTCAGCAATTAAAGTGTGGCTGCTGCTACGGTGCACAGTGAACTTGCATTCCAATTAGCCAAATGAGGCACAGCAAATGTCTTTTTTTACGCTCTGCCATTAACGAGTCTGCTGAAATGCAGTGCTTACGAAGAGTACTGATAATTATTCGACCGTAGGAACCAAAGCCGCTCTTGGCAATTATTTGGAAAGATGAGGTTCCCTAATTTTTCTCAGCATTTAGCTTTGCACTTGCTCCTTACAATAGGGGTTTTGCGTTCTCTCTTTACTGCATGACAACGCAATTGACATTACAGTCAAACCGACGTAAATTGTGACCAGCCATGTCGGGATCTCTTTGGCTATGCAGGGTTGAGCTTGTTTATCATTTGGATGAGAGACCATGGGCGATTTCTACGTGTTGTTTTCATTGGCATTAACAACGTAGGCAAGGATATGGAAGTGCTAAGTGTCACCCCCCTCGTATGCCTGGGCTTTCTCTGGGCATTCTGGTTTTATTCCACATGCCAAACACTCATGGGTCAAATGGGCTAAGCATTCCCTGGCAGGATCCTGCTGAAAAATTATTTATGTAATTTTAACACGTAGGCTTTCGCGACCAATATCATCCATAATACAGGTTTTTTTGGGTTAGATAGTGTAAATATATAAACGAGTCAGATAATTGTTTTTTACCCTTCTATCTGGCAACAAAACTGACACCTTTTTTATAAGGAGTCATGTTTGCATAGACCACAATACCTGCAGTCATAATGCAAACAAAAAACATAACTCTGATAATGTATGCACTGTCCTTGAAGTTGATTGGTCCACACCCGAGACAGCTTTCCTTAGAGCCTAGTCTCACATGGGTTGGACCAGATGACGCCAAAAGGCGCACAACTAAAAGACAATGCACCATCAGAGTATGAGAGCTCGGGGTAAGCATTTACACCATTGGAACCTCATTTGCCAGTAAGAAATATGATAATCATATCATATTTTTTACTGGCAAATGAGGTTCCAATGATATAAACGAGTCGTTAAGCCCGATACTACCCGACACAGCCAATTTAGTAAAGTTTGTCATGTAAGCAGAACATGTCAATTACTGGCGAAACGTCGTACTCAGATTGTAAATGTTTTAGCTTTATTCTCCAACACACCGGTGCGCTGTAATAGTAACGAATTTGCATGTTCTGTTTATGTGACAAACCTTACTAAATTGGCTGTGTTGGGTGGTGGCGGGTTTAACGACACATTTATATATTTACGGGATCTAACCCAAAAAAAACTGCATTATAGAATATATATGATTGTTATATGAGCCTTAGTTTTTCTGGTGATATTACATTGGCAGTTTGGTGTGCTAGCACAAATGACACAAACACATTAGTCAATAACACTCCTTTTGGGCAGTGGCTCTTCTTTATAGCACACCAACATGCCTCAGACAGGCAGTGAGACTTTCCTGAGTGTTTGCATTCTAGAGACTAACAAATAAACCAGTGAATGAAGTAAAGCGCTCACACAACACATTTTATTAATATACTTTAATTACAATATGAACAAGCATTTTTTTTTCCAAAAACAAAATCTGTACTTTAGCTAATCAGACAATGTGGCTCCATTCCTCCTGTCGGATGACCCAGTGCAGGCTTTACAATGCAGCTGACGTGTTAATGATTTACGATCTAGCGAGGCAACCTCCCATCCTCCCGAGAATTCGTTGAATCATCGCAATTCGCGATCGCAATTATTCTCGAGAAATGTAATTTTAATTGTGGTGATATTCAGTGGCCCCGAGTGGACACAGAGGTCACTTGAACCCATTACATACAATATATAAATTAATTAAAATATTTTTTTGCATGAGTCCTTTGTAACCCAATTGTGGATAAAGGCCTCCCCGTGCCTTGTGGTGGGCACTATTTGACCATACTTCACCATGTGGGTCGGTGAAGTGGGGGGGGGGGGGGGGTTCAGGTGTCTCTGGCCAGCAAATCAAACCGGGGTCTCTGGGTTCGCTGCACAAGCATGCTGAGCATACACATTTAATACACATTGATTCTTACATGCACGAGTCGATGTATGTATTGTGAGCGAAAAAATAAAAATTCGATGTTTATTAATTAATCGAAACAAGGGAATTCGGGTTGTTTTATCAAATTTCATTATCGTAATTGCACTCAGATGCCTCCAAATTGACTCTCACATTGTTGAGTGTGTTCTTAAAGTCTAAGTATGTACAGAATCAGTCAGGATTAAGCCACATAACCTATTTCAGTGAGCGACAGCTCGGTTTGAAGGAATTGTATCTGCGTTCTATGTGCATATACTGCATGTGTTCCCTTGAGTTGACTTCCGCATGTGGCCTGCGATTGTGCCACATAATCCCTTAAATACTCGATAATCTGTAAATTTTCAAACCACTGCCAAAAAACTAAACACTTTTTTGAGTTTATATAAAATAAACATAAAACATATAATGGCGAGGTAAAGTACCGTGAATTGATTATTTCTCTCGCTTAGACAGTTTGCATAATTGCAATAGATCTGTCCTTTGAATGGGTGGCCTTGTAAAAAACATAAAACATGGACTGGGTGTAATTAACAGATAGAACAGAGCCACGTTGGCAAGTAATGGTTTAGAACAGGGATAGGTAACTAAGTATGTACGGCCAAACACAGTCAATCTTTGCCATTCACTGGCAGATTGGATCTCAAGCATTTTTTTTACCCCCCGTAGAGCCTGAACAGACTCATCTTCTTGGTTCTTTCCCTTCTACGTGACTTTACCGAAAGAACCAAGAAGATGAATCCCTGCAGTCACGAAAGCTTTAAATCGTAAAATTCCTGAACAGACTGTTGGGGCAAGTGCTGTTAGCGAGCACCTTTGAAGGCCGGCACGGTACACGAGGGGGTTGGTGGCCAACACCACGCCCGGCCGCCTTTGTCTCCCTAGTGGCGATGTTTACACACCGCACCAGATACTCATTTGAGGCTGAGTCGACATAGGGGAGACCCAGGACCGGTTCAGATAATCGTCACTGGTGTTGGCCGTGAGCGGGAATCGAATTCCGATTGCCTGTTTCGTAGCGCAACACGCTAACCGCTACACTACCACTCCCCATATCTCAAGAATGATACACTCACGCACGCCTTTAGACTGGTTGACATGGGAAAGACCGACTGTGTCTGCGCTACGTCTGGGGAAGTTGACTGGTTTCCCATCTTGAATTATGAAGGCATTTGCAGCACACTGAAGCTTCGTTGCGAATCGAGGCACACGACACACTGTACAGTTTAACACAGACACGCGCACATACTTAGAATACAGAATTAGACAAAAAGCTGAATTTACTAATTAAGTGTTGTTTGTGTTTACCTTGTTCTAAGCAAAACCTCACAAAGCCACACAACACCAAAAAAACCGAAATGATGACAAGCGGGGCCATTAGAGATCAAAGCATTTTGAGAAAACATCTTGTAATGCACGTGACGATTCAATTTTACTTCATCTCTTACTCTGCACGACGTGGCAATTGCTGCGTATAACAATCCACGAATATACACGGCGGTCTGGGGACACGATAAATCTCACTCAACAAAGGAAAGCGCTGTATCAAAACTGGCAGAGGAAACAAATTCGAGGTGTTCTACTCGTATTGTGCCTTTGGGCAAGGTATTAGGAATCTAGGGGATATATATATGTATAAAAGTGCGCTCCGCGAAGTCCGCTGCGAAGGGTTCCACGTGTTTGCTTTGTGCGGACAACAGCGGAGCGGTGGGCGAGAGCCGGCGTGGGTTCGTGCGGCACCGCAAACCCTCCCATTTTTAAATCCTTTATATTAAGTTCGCTTGCTTGCTTACGACCGTGCAAATCTTTCGGTCGTTTTTTAATCCACTTACCGTGATCCAATCGAGCTGACATTTTCCACTCAGACTCGTTGTGCGTGACAATTAATGTTCGTGAAAAAAAACTTCCTACATTTTACACTTTATAGGACAAAAAAATTATATTTAATTACCAATTGCTTAATGGTGCAATGTAATCATCTGACCCATAGGTGGCAGCCATCTCAAGCCAAAGGACGAGAGGACTCTAGCCGCCACGCATATAAAGGATTTATAGTGAAAAACTTTGTTTTTACGGGTTATACTTGTTTTATGAGCCAAAAAGAAGGAAAACAAAGCCGAAGCTTGGACGCATGAGCGCACGATCCGATGAGAACAGGCAAGATCCGCGTTGGACAGATGAACAGGCAAGAAACGCGTTGGACAGATGCATGGACATTACATCGAAAATGCAGCAAAGTATAAGTAACACGCTCTTTTTTGTACAGCGCTTAATGGAGATGACTCGGGAGTTATGTACAATAATCATATTCCATAAATTATATAGGTAGTCTTTTTTTAAAATAACTTTATTCACGGTATTATAGGCTTTTTTTCTCTTTTATAACAGCTGCATCTTTGAGAAACCCTGATTTTGACACCAGTTTCACGAGAGAAATGCAACATTCTCTGCATTCTTGCCGTTTTCCCCCGGTGTTTTCTTTCGGTAACAATCGAGATAAATACATGTCCCACAGCCCGGATAAAGAGACCAAATCTGCGCAGTGGTTTGGCTTCAATGCAGACAATTTAACTGTAAATGGTGGCCTTGAATCACTCAAAACTGACAATCTGCAAACACACCGCAACGGTAAACACCACGCCTAATTATACACTCAAGTGTAAATAGCATCTTTGAATTCTGCAGGGACATCGCCTTCATTTTGTCACTACCATCAAAAGACAACGCCAGGGTGGGATGCAGCAGTGATGGGGATTCGGTGTCTACGCGACGCGGCCACGTATCTTACAGCAGTGTTTTTCACGACGCCGTGCTGGGTGCAAAGCATTATGACTCCTTCGCTCGTCCATGCGACCAAAATAAATATCATCAAACAAAGAACTGTAAAACATATTGACAATAAATAAGGGGGACCTTGACGACAAATCGGTAAAACAGGTAGAATGTTAAATCATCAGTGTGAATCAGCATTAGATTGACAACAATTGTTCTATCCATTTACGAAGCCCAAACCCTTACAAAACCACAAACTAGGCTTTTTGTAGAAATGCCAAACACAAACAGGTGGAGAGCTGCATAATAACATCTGAACCGTAAATATATATCCCAGCTCTAGCACAGCTCTTTCTCAGAATCCTAATTAAAACAAATTCTCAGTAGTCATAATTACACAGTCACCTTATCGCTGAGCGGTGTAATAATGAGGATTTGTAAAATGTTGGCACTGTGTATGTGGATGATTGGAGCTAGTGAACAAAATTAATTTCCGTCTGCAATTATGGAGAAGATCCTTCCTCTTGATTTCGCAACTTCTGCCGGTGTCTCCGATGCACATCTGTTATGATTCATTTTCACCTAAGGAAATAATTTCACATTCATTAAATTGTGCAAACAAGTGCCAATGCCCACCCCCCTTTTTCTCGACTCAACAACTGTTAGGTGTGTGTGTAATTGAAAAATATAAAAAAAACATGATTGTCAGTGCGAAGTCCATGGCAAGCATTCTGTGGCAACAACTTTATAATTTGCATACATGTGCCCACCCAATTAGAATTTAACATTACACGGATGCATACTAATACGCGTATTCACAACGGTCATGTCGAATTTACATCTCCGTTTATTTTATTAAAAAAGTAATGCGCATGACAGCAGCTGCACGCAACGTGGTGCTGTAAAATGGCATCCTTTACAGCTGGTAAATTTGCGTGGCCATCTTTACAGGTTGACAGCTAGAAATGCCAAATAACATAGCAGTGATCATAGTGACCTGCATATGAGTCAATATTTGGACTCGTAATGCCACTGATACTCTATTAAAGGTCTGTGGTTGGGTTCCCTCCCCCTGGCCACATTTTAAAATCGTTTCTGGTTGAGGTTTAGGTTTGGGTCAGAGATGAGAACCCATTCCACCAAAAAATAATTCGAAAGAACATCCACACACTACTCTCCAGCACAATACAACTTGCTGTGACGTTTTGCCGAATACACCTCCAGCATCAGCACCACCACCTAAGGCAATAGGCAAGTAGACATTGCATCTACACTGGAAGAACCTGATTTTCGGCAAAAGCAAAAAACATTACAATCGTTACGATAATTTGTCATGTTTAATGACACCGTTTCACCACAATACCGGCTTCAGTTGCAATTAAATATACGATACGAATGATATAGAACACGTGAGATACGAACCTGATTCATATTGTCCAAGGTCACTGTGTTTCCTCAGAATCTGATATGTGGTTATTCTGAATTGAACAAGAAACAAGAAAATAGTTAGCACTGTTTCCACATAGACAATCTGCATATTAAAAAAAAGCATATATACCCATGGTCATGTGTGTGTGTGGGCTACATTGTATAAATATAGTCTGATAGACACTCATCATATGTTTTAAAGAAAACCACATTTTTTAAATGATGATATTGTAAAAATGAATATATATTTCTAGCGCACATGATCAGGCATTTTTGTCATTCAGAATTCATGTTTAAAAGATTTGTTATTAATGTTGTATTTTTCTCAATTGGTATTTTCTGCTTTCTTTACACTTCATTGCAATGTATTGCTCGCTATTTCACAAATTCAAATGGCAGATCTTTGAAACACGTTCCTTCGGAGTGGGCAGGTAGGAACTTGGTTGGACAGCGCATTCGTGCACGACAGAAAGCTCGCGGTCACGTGATGCACTTCAACCAATCCCGGAACGTACATGTTTGGGAGGGGCTATGCACGACAGACAAATCATCCCTGGTGGGCAGTGTGAAACTGTTGTTTCTACTTGTATAATTTCACTCGTTGAGTTATCCTTCAGCGATGAGGACTCCAGACTGATTTTTTTCTCACCCACTCCGTTCGACCACCACTCGGCAGGTCACAACACTTTTCTCTCGGCTTCCTCCACGCACTGCTCAAATTTGGAAGTCCATCCTACGGTTTCAAGTCTAATTATCTTGTTAATTCCATAAATATTTTGATTTCACACTTGATGATGATTGCTTGTGTTGCAGTCGAAACGTCGTGAGAATTTTATTGTTTTATATTTTTATTATTTTATTATTTCCCTTCGACGTGACTTTACCGAAAGAACCAAGAATATGAATGCCATAAACATGTTAACTCTTATCGACTACAACTTTGATTGGAGTGCTGTTCATTGCTGACCGTATGGCATGTTGGTCTTGTGGATCTATGCTCAGAAACCATAACGAATGAAAACAAGCAGACGTTTTGTGCAGGCCACGCATATTCCTTCGAGTAAAATTGTCCACTGGCAAAAATATGACCTCGTGGAGATGCCGGGGATTGAACCCGGGGCCTCACACATGCGAAGCGTGCGCTCTACCACTGAGCTACATCCCCATTCTAGTTCTACCGGGGCGCAGTTCCACCTAGGTATGGGTTGAAACAGAACCGGCCCTAGACCTTTGGGGGCCCTATTCAAAATTTGGTTGGAGGCCCCTTTGATGTATGATTTTTTTTCACCCACTAGCTAGCAGTGACTCTAGGGGGCCCTCTGCTGGCCACGGGGCCCTTTGCAATTGCAAGGGTCGCTTAGTGGCTGGGCCGGCTCTGGGTTGAAACGTCGTCATCAGCTTCTTCCTCTCCCTCGTCACCCCACTCACTCTCCTGTTGGCCTTGGGCCCTGGACACATCGAGTCTGCACAGAGTCCAATCAAAATGTATTTCTTTTTAAACAAAAAGAAATAACAAGAATACATGCGAATGGATACTATAACAAGAATTCATGTGGATGGATACTATAATCCATCCACACGTATTCTTGTTATTTCTTTTTGTTTCAAAGAAATACATTTTGCTTGGAGACTCGATGTGTCCAGGGCCCAGGGCCAACAGGAGAGTGAGTGGGGTGACAAGGGAGAGGAAGAAGCTGATGACAAAGTTTCAACCCATACCTAGGTGGAACTGCGCCCCGGTAGAACCAGAATGGGGATGGAGCTCAGTGGTAGAGCGCACGCTTCGCATGTGTGAGGCCCCGGGTTCAATCCCCGGCATCTCCACGAGGTCATATTTTTGCCAGTGGACAATTTTACTGGAAGGAATATGCGTGGCCTGCACAAAACGTCTGCTTGTTTTCATTCGTTATGGTTGCTGAGCATAGATCCAGAAGACCAACATGCCATACGGTCAGCAATGAACAGCACTACAATCAAAGTTGTAGTCGATAAGAGTTAACATGTTTATGGCATTCATATTCTTGGTTCTTTCGGTAAAGTCACGTCGAAGAGAAATAATACAAATATAAAACAATAAAATTCTCACGATGTTTCGACTGCAACACAAGCAATCATCATCAAGTGTGAAATCAAAATATTTATGGAATTAACAAGATAATTAGTCTTGAAACCGTAGGATGGACTTCCAAATTTTAGCAGTGCGTGGAGGAAGCCGAGAGAAAAGTGTTGTGACCTGCCGAGTGGTGGTCGAACGGAGTGGGTGAGAAGAAAATCAGTCTGGAGTCCTCATCGCTGAAGGATAACTCAACGAGTGGAATTATACAAGTAGGAACAACAGTTTCACGCTGCCCACCAGGGATTATTTGTCTGTCGTGCATAGCCCCTCCCAAACATGTACGTTCCGGGATTGGTTGAAGTGCGTCACGTGACCGCGAGCTTTCTGTCGTGCACGAATGCGCTGTCCAACCAAGTTCCTACCTGCCCACTCCGAAGGAACGTGTTTTATTCTTGGAAATATTTAATTCGGAAATAAAAGTGTTCTGGATACTTTGAGCACTTGCTTTCATTTATAAATGTTTAAGTAAACCATTTGATCACTGTGTGCATCGCTAGTTATACAAATAGCAAGTTCCTGAAATCAACACAAATTCATCGGAAGGTATCGTTCATATCGGGTAATATTTACGAGAGTTCATGTGCACCCCGATTACAGGGACATTGACACAGCCAATTGATTTTGGAATTCAACTTTTGTTGGAAAAATGAATTAAATAAAAGCTTCCTACATGGAGATGCCGGGGATTGAACCCAGGCCCTCACACATGCAAAGCGTGCGCTCTCCCCCTGAGCTACATCCCCACCACGCTGGCAGCCAGCCCCCTTAACTATCGGCCCCTCCCCTTACCCCCCCTCCCTTAGGCCCCTTTCCTGACCACCCCCCACATATCCTTAGGCCCCTCCCCTGACCCCCCCTCCCTTAGGCCCCTCCTCTGACCCCCCTCTCAGGCCCTCTCTCCTGACTCCCACCTTCCTTAGGCCCCTCCCCTGACCCTCTTCCCTTAGCCACCTCCCCTCTCCGTACCCGGCAGTAGGTCTCCACCAATCAAAGAGCTGTTTATATTATATATTTATTTATTCACGACAGACAGACAGACAAAAAATCCCTGGTGGGCAGTGTGGAACATATTGTTCCTACCTGTAAAAGTGCCAGTCTCAATGGGCTTTTAATAAAAATGTTTTACAAAAGTAATGACTTGCAGCGCTCTTTGTTAATTATCTGCTTGATTAAGGCCATCCCATGCAGTGTCGGCTATGGGATTTGTTTGTATGTATGTAGAACTTTGTTCACACCGTACGTAGCCAACTGTGCTAATCGGAGGTGCTGGGGAAGGACAACAGCGTTTCAAATTCATAACTCAAGAGGGAGAGTGAGGCAGAGGGTATGACCAGCTCAGGTGTCACTTGCCACTGACTTTATCGGTGACTGAGAAAACTCAAGTCGCCGAGTTCATGCTGAAGCAAACTAACCACAGCAGTGCCACTGTTCAACTCCCTTGGATTGAACTGAAGGATTGGAAATCAGAGGTCATCTTTTTTGAATCGGTATAACAGAGCCCCATTTCCTCAACGAACATTTCATTTCGTTACATGGTGATCAAAACGGCACATCTGCCTCAAAACACTCTGTACAATTAGCATGGTTGGCTATGCACGGTGCAAGTTCGACATGTATACATTCTTGGTTCTTTCGGTAAAGTCACGTAGAAGGGAAATAATAAAATAATAAAAATAAAACATAATAAAATTATTCTCACGACGTTTCGGCCACAACGCAAGCAGCCGTCCTCAGGTGAAGACCAGGTCTGTCGGAAAGACAGCGGCTGCTTGCGTTGTGGCGGAAACGTCGTGAGAATTGTATTTTATAATGTTTTATTTTATTATTTTATTATTTCCCTTCTACGTGACTTTACCGAAAGAACCAAGAAGATGAATCCCTGCAGTCACGAAAGCTTTAAATCGAAATGTATACATTCGTAATAGTATTTTAGAATAATATTGTATTATGTAACCCAACGAAAATGTATTAAATTAGAATTTTAACAATCGGGTTGTTTTTTGTCGAAACTGCGTGGACATATAACCTTCAGAGCAACCCACACGGACTAAACACCAGCGTTGGGGCACCACTCATTGTGAATCGGTGGCATGTAATGGGAATGGCTCGTACTCTTGAGCGCCAAACAAAAGAAGGGAGTTTCTCCAACTTCATGACAGTAATGTGCAACCCAAGTGATTTATTTACTTATTTTCCACCGTCCATCAAGAGTAAGAATGACATCCCGTCAATCACAGGTCCGAGTGATACTCGCTTTCACAGAGTTGCCAAGCGGAGCAGTAAGATACGGATATTTATGTGCCCGTGATATTTGACGTCTGTATCTGCTTGAAACAGCTCTCTCGTGTGCACATCGACACAGGCGCAGGAGTGTAAAGATAATGGTTATTTGCACGATTTGCGGTGCAGATATGGCCCTTTCAGGCAGTGATGTGGTTCATTATTTATTTAGCAAATAATTTATTATGTTACGGCATCTGCACACTGCAGTGTGTGTAATGACTTGTGGATTGATGGTCTGCTGGAAAAATCTACCAATCTATGAATATGTAAACGACATGCTTGATAAATTTGAAGATGGGGAAACTGACTTTTTCACAGAATGTACATATTTACATAAGAAAACTTTGCTGCATCAGAGAAATAAATTGAGAACGAAATGTTAAAGCATAGTTATTTATGCTTCTACAGGGTAGAGGGCAATTATCAATCATTTGTGTGATCTCGTGCAGTGCATACAACCTCCATTTAATGTACAACTGCAATCTGAAAAGCAATTCACCACATGGACAGTCTCCTCTTCAAAGTCATCGTCCTCTCTGTCTCTGTCTCCCACCTCCTCGCTCCCTCCCTCCAGGGCATCATCTGTGTTTGGCTCCTCTGGAGTCCCAGGGACCAATTCCTCCATCCCATTTCCTTCCACGTGGTCACAGACAGCTGTGGACACAGCACACAATTTGCTCTATCGGCATATCTTGACCTAACACATTCCTTTAGTTCATTCTTCGACCGCTTGTCCGGCTTGTAAAATCGAACGCTTAATATAAGGCGGCAGAGATTCCAATAGGAAACGCATTCGGTTTATGCAGTAATGTTTTTGCACATTTTAAAAAGTGTTGAAGTATATTTCAAGAAACATTTACATCAGAAAGTGATATCGTGAAAATAAAAGGTAGCAGATCACATCAGCAATACGAGCATCAATTTGAAATAAACATAAATGTGGGTAAAGACAAACTTTCGAATTAATAATAATACTATACATTTTACGTATAATCATAAAAGGTGATTTTTTTAAGCTGTTTGATGGCCCAACATGATCCCAAGGAATGGCACGCATCTGAGAGAAAGTCCACCGGGGAAATGGATTGCTCAGCCCCTGTGCAGGTGACAGGTGGATTGTCACATCGCAGAATCACAAGGGATGGCGGCGATTTGGGGAGGCATTCATCCAGCAGTGGATTGATCATGTCTGATGATGATGATGACATGATCCGAAAATGAATTAAAAAAAAATTGAATTGCATACAGGAGTTAAAACCGCCTAGCTCTAGGATTCCAACTCCCGGTGCCGAGCGTTTTCAATAAACTTTGGGACCTCTTTCTTTGTGAAGGACATAGGCAGGGAGAATGAAGCAATGCCAGGTGGTGCTGAATAGGTCGCTACACTGGAAGTAATGGGATGAGATGAAGCCGAATCCAAACTCACCAGGATGGCTTTAACAATGCCAATGGGAGGACAAAGCGTGTTACTCCAGCGATCGGTCTCTTTTGGCAGGTTAAATTGCCCTGCATTTCACAGCAGCACATTGCCTTCCAGCACATGTCCGAGGCTGTCCATCACTTGACAGGTGGGTAAATTAAACTTTCTTGGCCATTCGCACCCCCCCACCACCACCCCCGGTCTTAAAACAAACGCTTGGGCAATATTATATTCAATTAAAACGCACGCACCTTTCGTGCAACTTCGAACGTGACCAATTCATAGCAATTGTCAGCCCTCTGTCAATCCACTGCTGGATGGAAGCCACCTCTTGTCACGTCGGTTATGGCGGTTGTCTGACCATACTGCACTATGCTGGTCTCCACGGGGTTGGTGAGAAGTGGGTGCGCAGGGAGCGGTTCAGACATCACTCGTCACTAATGTGAGCCGTGGCCAGGAATTTAACAGGGGTTACCAGGTTCACAGCACACTACGCAAACCACTAAGCCACCAAAGGTACCGATAACTTCATTGGGGAGTAAAAAAAACCCACCAGCAGCGACAACATTGACAAACCCATAAATATTGCAATGCACAAATATCGTAATACAGAAATATTGTAATGCACAAATGTGTGTTGTTGTGAATGAATAAATGAATACTACATACAGTTTTGATTTCTCTGATCTTTTTCTATCTTCTCCAGGCTCTCCAGAAGCGAATCAATTTTAGTTTTTATCTGTGTGAGCTCTTGCTTTATTGTGTACAGGTCGTGACTCCGCACTGCAACAAAACAATAGAAATGTCACAGTAAGGAACACAAAAAAATGGTAAAGCCCGTCGAAATGTTCAAATCCTATTACAGACCTTATAATGGATTTTTTTTGGGGGGGCTCAAAAAAATAAATATAGTTAGCAGCGAGGGCGTTTATAAGTACATCGGTGTGCAAACACCACGTGCGTAACATCTATCCTTCATTGCGTATTGAAATGTGGTTTTCATAAAATCAATAAATAGGCACTATATTATGAGAATTTCAGTGACATTAGCGAAATTTCCATACAAGGTGAGAAAAATGCAATCGTGAACAACATTAAGAGAACAAAAAACTACACCAGCAAAACTTTTCAAAATCGGTTTGCTGACCCTCATGGCCCCCATAAACTCGGGACGGAATTGGTGTTGGTGTCAATTCTTTTCTTATGTTGGGGTGAGAGTGAAACACAAGAAATTGTTTCACAGATGTCCAATGCAATCCAGAAGGAATTTGAATTAAGCTCTGGGTTTCACAATACTCTGAGCAGAATCACGTAATGCCGTTTTTGTTTTTATTCCTTCGTAGGGTCCTGGAGGATTAGACCATAACAAAGGGTGCTTTCGAATTTTCCTCGTCCCCCACGACCAGATGATAAACAGGTTTTGAAGTCTCAAATGTAATAAATGGCAATGCCGCTCCGTATGACATCAGTGAAATGAATTAGCTCAACATAGATTTCGTAAATGTGACGCACAATACACAACAGCAGCCTTGCATTTTGACAGTTTGTCCATCAATTGCTGTTTTCATTATATCACAACCAATAAGGCTTCTGAGACAAGCTGCAATAAGTCTCCACATCTATTAAGTCTCCTGGACATATTTTAGACACATCGCATCTATGCTGAAATATTAAATCCGATGGTGCAGTTCTAAATCACTGTTGATCACAACAAATCAAATGTGACTTTTGTTTTCGGCTAATGTATATTTTTTATGAAAGGCGGCTGTCGTATCTGTCCAAACACATATACAGATTTTATGAAACGTTACCAAATTGCTTCAAAGAAAGTGTACTAAACCATTATTATTTACTCCAGTTCATAATATGTTCTCGTGACTTGTACTTAAATGTGCAACTTCAAAACGTATTTAAAATTAGGTAAGTATTATTTATCCACGGGACTGCACATCAGTCCCTCTACTCTAGTGAATGAATGAAAAAAAATCTTATTAAATTTGTAATGAAAATTAAAATCTAGTCAATCAAAATAAATACTGCAGTCGCAATGATGTGAGTTCATGCGGAAAGAACACAGGACAGGATATTAACAATTTAATGAGAACACAGTTGCCAGCGATTAAAGGGGCAGTTGGATTATTCAAGAAACGGCTGAACTGTGACATTTCACAGAGGTTCCAGCTCTCATGTTTATATTCACAGGTGTCTAAGTTCAGCAAGCGAATCACATTATTTTTTGTGTTTGATTGCACGGTCGTACGGAACGGCTCTCCGATGTCACACCGCGCGTTGTTCGGCACGATCTCCGACATTTCGCTGCACGCGCGAGGAAGCTTCTGCTGGAACTGAACCGAGCAGCTCACGACTAGAAGTCTATTATATTATCAAGGGTACATAACACGAAATTATCATAACGAGGGCCCTTGTCTTTAGACATTTTGGATTTCACCAGCATTGATTGGTTCAAGCGAGCCTGGCTTTGCTGATGAAACATTGAAAGCTGAAACCGATCGAGCGTTTGTTGCCATTGAAGCGATGTTGTTTAAGTTATGAACTCCCAGAAGACGATATGGCTGATGGGTTGTGAAGAATAAAAAGAGCTTCATTTTTGTTACGCGGAGAAATAGATGTTTGCAGGAGGCGTATTGTCTGCCCATGTTATCAAGTGAGAAATATAGCTGCTCAGTCTCGTTCCCAGAACACGGACATAGCGCGTTTATATCCCATAATAACAATAATGAAAAACAAAAAACGTGTTTTCTACATGTCAGCGGAGATAATCTACATTAAGCCAGCACAAGGAAACACGGAGAAAGGAACTTCACCATTGGAGTTATTAGCCACGGACTGAGAGCCCTGGACGGTGGATGGGCTGATTGTGGGCTCGGGCCGGATGGAGGCCGGAGCGCTCGGGCTGACGGTGGCGACGTCGTTAGTGGGCCGCTTGGGGCCCGAGGGGGCCGTGCCCGTCACGGTGGAGCGGGGCCCCCCCTTGAGGGGGAACCCCCCCTTGCCGCGCCGTGGCACGGGCACGGAGATGCGTGGGCGCTTGATGGGCAGCAGCGTGCGTGGCGGGGGCAGGGGCCCCCTCACCGGGTACTCATAGACTCTGTGTCAGCGCACGGCAAAGGACAGGGCGGTTGGTCAAGTGTGAAACCACGCGTGCGTTTGCTGCCGGACTGCAGCTCCCCGGTTTGTTTTCGGGTTGTGCCGTCTGGCGTGATGTCCGACGATTCACTCCACACGCGGTCGGGAGGCAGGGGGGCGGGGGGGCTTCTTCAGGTACTGAGTCCCCGACGTAAATGCCGAGCGGTACGCGGCACAACCCGCAACCCGGGTGTACCGGAGAGCGACAGCAGGTCAAAGCTCCTGCCTGAGCGGTGGTGCTTATCCCCATTACTACTGGCCCCGAGCAGGCAGTGTCAGTCGCTCCGATGAGCAACCGTTCACCTCGCACAGAGCGGTGCTTGTTTTTATTGATCCCGTATACGGATGAAGGGTGGAGTTATAGCACACCGACCAACGCTCGTAACCTGCAGCCTTGCTTTTGCGAGATGTGCAACAGCGTTCACCATGCAGTGGTCACAGTCCCACCCAGGGCTGAAACCCTCTCTCGTCTGTCTCGTCTTGTTTCTCTCTCGTGTTACGGCTTTTCTATCACCTGCACGGCAGTGACCCCCGTGGTTACAGCTACAGGTATCCATCAGTATGGGAATGCGGTTTCTACGAACTCCACCATTATCTAAAAAAAAACTATTTAAAAAAAAAAACCTATAAAAACTAAACTTACCAGGTAAGGCCCACTGAGCTATAGAGCTCTTTTACAGAAGCGACTTGGCCACAAATGATACCTCAACGAAGTGGCTTATCATGTGGACATTAATATCAGCCAAATACTCTAAAAGCATGTTTTTTTAAATGTGGAGGGAAAAACCGGAAGACCCAGAGAAAAATCCACTCGGCCACGGGGAGAACATGCAAACTCCAATTATACAGGCCTCAGGGTCGGGACCGAACCTACGACCCCCTGTATACCAGGCGAGGTAGTTAACATCTCGTAACAGTGACGTCCACATTTTTACCCTACAACCGAAATCTAGGACTCTGTGGCTATGAGTTGTTATTTTCTCTACACATAAAATATACCGACAGGATCTGAGTTTTACTTGGAGTTGAAGATAAGTGTGAATAATTTAATTCAAGCCCCGAAAGGGTGTTTTTTTTTCCTTTTTGTGCAAAGACACTTTATTTAATTCAAAATGGTATAGGCGTAATGCGCGGTGCGGTGGTGGACGTGCAGGAGAAATGACATTGAGATGCAGCTTAGAAAAATCTGCCTCTCGACTAATGCAAAGCACAACTCTCATGTATGAATTCTCCCTGATGCAAAGGACACATTTTAGATGTGACCATGGACATACGTGGAACAAATTGGAGCATAGATTCTACGAAACATGCTAATTTGAAATAAGCTGCCAATTGCAAGCTTTGTTGTCTCATCCATAATAGAGGTTTATTGGGTGAGATAGAGGAAATATATAAATGCGTCGTTAAACGCGCCACCACCCGACACAGCCAATTCGTAAGGTTTGTCACATAAACAGAACATGCCAATACCTACATTTCGATTTAAAGCTTTCGTTACTGCAGGGATTCATCTTCTTGGTTCTTTCGGTAAAGTCACGTAGAAGGGAAATAATAAAATAATAAAATTTAGAAATAAAAATAAAATAAAACATAATAAAATACAATTCTCACTAGAGAATTGTATTTTATTATGTGTTATTTTTATTATTGTATTATTTCCCTTCTACGTGACTTTAACGAAAGAACCAAGAAGATGCCAATACCTTACGAGTACAGCAGACCGGTCTCATTGGAGAGTAAATCCACAACATTTACAATTGGTCACAAAAGCCTCGTCTCACGCTGGGGGGGGGGGGGGGTGCGGGGGGGGGGGGAAACAAACCGCAATAACACAAACGGTCACAATGACCTTAACTCAAACAGCCGTCTCTGAAATGTCTCTTTAATCAGGAGACCACAACAAGAGCTCGATTCACTCGGGCTTTGAATGTTCTCACGAAAATAAACATTTCAATGCCGCTGTTGTCGGTCGACGACTGGATGAAGGCTTTCCATACACCGCGTTTGTGAGGGTTTTTGACCATACTTCACCAAGCTAGTTCATGCTGGCTATTGGTGGGAGGGAGTGGGTATTAAAGGTATCAGAATATTTATTTATTCTGGAGGAATCCGATAAGCTATAAAGCTCTTTCTCACAGATGTCCAGTCAGCCATGGCCAGGAACGAAACTCCGGTCACTGGGCTCATAGCGCAGTGCGCTAACAACTGCGCCAACCATCGCCCCGTTAATATAAAATAACATTAATAATTACAATACAATTTAATATCGTATTCAACTACCATCGCTGATGAATGGACAGAGTACCTTTCTTATGTTAATGCAATTTTCTAAATGGCCATCAATAGATGACATCAAGTACTTGATTGCATGTAGATTAATAGACAGTTTCAAGCTTGCTCCCTAATGACATTAAAATGAACAATGTTGAAATTACTTTTTCATTGTGCTACTCCAAAGATCGCTTTAACAGAATTAAACGATATTTCTGTTACGTAAATGTCAATGTATGACATTAATTTAGTTAATAAGCTGCAATTTAATTTTGCACAATGTTGAATGTTTAACATCGTGTTCTTGATGCTTTTATACGTATGAAAATACAATTCATTTCTCCTGCCAAGTTCTACTAAACAATCGACGTACGGTACTGTTAAACTCACAGACAGAGCCTAGGGAATAACAGAAGAAGACTTACCTGTCATAGAAATCCTCTCTGTAGTAGTCATAGTCAAAGTCAGGTCCCCTTGGGGAAAGAAAAACACATGTACAGGATTATTACAAACAAGTTGCATGCAGCCTCTGTTCACAGTCCATCAAATGGGTTTTTGCATGTGTACTTAAACGAGCCACTATGATCTTGCATTCATGCCGGGGTGGAGGGTGGTTGAACAGGTGAACATACAACATTTGCCGTAATACTCCGAGGAAATTAATTTTTCACTCGTGTTTCACGTTGCAAGAACGCCAACTAAGGTCAACCGCTGGCATGTAATGCACGGTTGCTGCTAGGTCACGCGATGGAACGATTCATCAAAAGAAGAGCGATTCTTATGCTCACGATGCTCACGATTGAAATCTGCACGGGAGAATTGAGTGCTGATAATGTGTGCGGTTTATAAACTGGAACTAACCCATTGTCTAGATGGGCTCTCTACATGTCCCTCTACAGGAGCCCCCACTGCCAGCAGTGACATGAGAAATAAATTGCAGGGCTGTGCGTTTACCTTATACTATCCCATCCTAAAGATTGGAAGAATGATATCTAAACGACATTCATTTATGGAACTGTATTGCAATGGTGACCGAAAAGAGTTTGTGTTGCATTCCTCTACTACCCTAGTCGTGTTTTACTTCATCTACTTTACTCAATGAAGAACAACTATATTGCACATGAGTGCCCTTAACCCTCAAGGACAAAATGGAAGGTATGGATCACATGAATTGAATTGTCTCCAATTTCACTAAATCATTCCACACTCTCAAATGAAAAAAAAGAAATAGAGTATTGGGAAGAGCGGTTAGACATTTCTTTTACTTCACAAGATTCGCACGGTCATAACATTTGGCCACCTTATTCACGTAATTCAAAGGTCACAGCTGATCATCATCATACCATCGGCCACTGGTTCATTCTGGCTAGTTTGAGGGCTTACTCAGCTCTATCTAAAAAATATTGCTCGAGTTGCTGTGACCGATGGGCTGACTCACAGTGTCGGTTCACATAGATGCGACCAAGCGTAATGAATATGTGACATTGATGCAAATTGAGGGAACAAAACGAGACAAACAAAAAGAGACAAACAAAACAAATCTTGACCCCGAGTCGTGACGATTTATCGAAATTCCTCATTTGTTATAACGCAAAGATTTCTACGAAGCCTTATATGCTGTAGGCCAGGGGCGGTTTCTTCATTAGGGCGATTGGGCGACGCACCACCAATGTCATTCAACCACAGAGTCACGCTAGCCGTCACTGTGCCTCTGGATATAGTCCAATCAGCGTCATGCTACGTTCTGTGGAGTACCGCCTCTTTTTGGGCGATTTCACTCCGGCTGAGAATCGCCCCGAGTGGCCCCATAGACTTACATTCAAAGATGTTTTTTTTCGAACGGGGGGCGCTGCAATGCATTCTCTATGGCTTCCGGGAGGGCTCGCCCTAACGTGCTTACGTCATCATACGTAAGCACGTTTCATCCAACAATATAATTTGTCGCCACCTAGTGGAATCTTTAATAAAATAAACTTGAGTGGATTGTATTAATAGTGAGTATAGAAACAAACAAGGAGATATATTGTAAGAGTCACTTTATTTTTCATTAATATTAAAGAAGTGAAGTTGCCTTTACATGCTTAAGCTGTTAATTTATCCATTGCATGGGTGGACCTTATCCTTATCAATCATCCAGACATTTGCCCCCCCTGAGAGATTTTGCAGGAGCCACCACTGGTGTAGGTGGAACAGTTCTGATTCTTAGCCTGGGATTGAGTTCCACTCATGGACTCTGCAAGAGCCACCCAGCTCTGCCATCAGGCACCACTGTAGTAAAACGAGCACGAAGGGGTGGTGTCACGACCACCACCACCACCCGCAGTGTTGATGATCAACATCATACCAAGTACGTACCTATTTAAGGATGAGTTAATATACTAACTGAACTAACGTTATTATTTTAACACTTAAGGCCCACTGAAATATTAGCTCTTTTTCAGAAGTGACCTGGCCACAAATGATTGCACAACGAAGTGGCTTATCATGTGGAAATGTATTGCAGCCCGATGCTCTAAACGCGTGTTTCTAAATGTGGAGGGAAAAACTGGGGGAGCCGGAGAAAAATCCTCGCAACGATGCAAACTTCAAAATAAACAGGCGTCAAGTGTCGGGATCGAACCCACAACTTCCTTCATACCAAGCGAGGCAGTGAACATATCCGCCACCGTGTTGCCCCATATATAGTGGAAACCAGGAACGTGCGGTCAGGGGAGGCAGGGGAGGTACAGCCTCACCCGTCATACTCCAATGAAAATAGCTGTTACGAAAATAAAAAATAATAAAATACAGATTAAGATTTTTTCCACTGATCTGCGTTGTCATTTCTGTATGATTCCAATAATTTTTATAGTCAAAATCGCCAAATTTGCGGAGCTCCACTGCAAATACAGGAAGAGACGAGAGGTGAGGCAGCGACGAGCTCAGCCTCACCTCTGATTGTGCAACCCCTCAGACACTGCAATGATTGGAATCATACAGAAATTACATTTATAACACAGATCAGTGGAAAACTTGCCATAGGTTTCCATAGGTGGAAACCTATGGCAGGTTCAGCTGCTGATGTGGCATTGGTCTGTAAGGAAAAGACTCTAAACCTGCTCACGATGTTTGCAACGTTGTAAGATAATAACTGCGCCACTGCTCCCTACACAGACGCACAGAGACACGCACACACGCAATGTAGTCGAAAGTGTTGAGAAAAAATTACAGCTTGAACTGCAAGTGTAGATTAAGCTAAATATGGGCTTAAACAGAAACTAACAAAAGACAGGCCTTGTTGGTTGGTATTTACTTTATTGAAAAATAACAGAGAACATCTATCAGGAAGACCTTAAGAATAATTTGACCAACTGTTTTAATTCCACGTTCAGGACAATGCTTTTATTTATGGAATGACACGTAAAACAGATTAATTTTTTTATGAATGTTGCCGAGCAGAATATACAAACATGACACTTAAGGGAGCTTTACGTTGACACTCAGCCAGCTTAGCAAAGTAAACAAACGTGTTTTTTTTTATTTAATCCATTGAACCATTCAACCCGTGCTATTACCGCAGCAGAAAAGTGCACGTTGATTTGTCCATTAACATAACCAGAGCTCACTGCTGAAAATAAAAATCAACGCATAATAAGAGTGGAAACTACATGGTATGTGGATTTAAAAAAAATTACATTTCAATGTATCCACAGCTTACAAAAGGGATAAGAGTCCCTGGGAAGGAATGTTTTGTATATGTAATTCTATTGCACACGTTACATATTTAAATTATTTGAGATCTTATCGAATAAAAGAGAATGTTATTGAAATCATGTAAAAGCTGTCGTAGAGAGGCACATTCTTGACTTCTTCAAGGCCGAAAGACCATAATTTTTGATTTATATACAAGGTTTTTTTGTTATTATTTTGCAATGCATGCGTAAGAAATGTCACATTAATTTTGGAACCGCAGGCAATGGAGAAGTCCCAAAACAGCAGCAACAGCAGCATAAGTACCACTGCATTATTAGACATGTTCTTTTGCAGTGATCTCATCGTCCATCGGGTTATCTTTTGGACAGAGTTGAAAATGCCTCCAGCTCAGTGGCATTCCATTCGATGCGGTTTTAAATTGTAACTTTTGACAAAGGAAGTATTTTTTTCCTACATAATTATTTTATCATAATTTCTGTTTCTTATTCACAAAGGACGGATTTTGAAACACGAATAGGCTTGGGGTGAATTATCGGTGCAGTAGCTGGCGCACTACGCTATGAACCCACAATATGTGCTTAGTGATATCTTAAAAGATTCTCGGAATCTCCTTCACTAACCCGCACTGACAAAGCGTGGTGAGGTATGGTCAAACAACCCCCGTGACCTACGATGTATTGACAAAGGGTTGCACATTATCATGACATTAATTAATTTGATCTTGGCTTTAACACATTTTCTTGTGGGTATGGCTTCACAAATGGTCGTAAATGAGGTCTGTGAATAAAGATCTCAAGAGCTCATTGAATTCCTCCAGTCCAAACATTTTTTATTCTGTTATACTCATTCTATTTCGGTTTGCACCTACAAAAGCAATGCAGTGTCTGTTTAGACCTCTTTCTTTGGTCTACGACGTATATTTGGGTATAAGTGATGGGGCTGTACCGATTACACCACCTACATTCTGGATACCTGCTGGCAGTGGACAGCCCCCGACTGTGACACCACAGGACATATCGCTGCGTGCCAATCAATTACCGTGGTTTTAAAGCTGCACAACATGGGCACAGGACATTCGTGGCAGCATGAGTGTTTTCCTATAACAAGCGGATGCGTGTGGAGGTCATACATCTTTTTTTAATATTTTACGTATCACAGCAACTGATTTGGTACAACTTGTAACTCAGTGGACTTGAAACCCCTTCCATGGTCACCAAGGTGAAATAAGCCCCTGCATTGCTCTGTGGTTGGTAAAATTGAGTGCCACATAGTATACAATCAACTGGCTAAGATGACAACAGTGGTTGTCTTATCGGCAAACTGACCTTTACAAAAGACTACGTGGAATTGCCACCCCTGGACTAGGGATTGCAAAGGTGACCAGTAGTGTGCAATTCTTGCACTCTCTACGATGCACTTTGCGTAATCCTCTCAACACATGTCTCGTGATTAACATTACTCTGCTTTAACCTCACCGATTGCACTCGTTTTCTCTTTCGCGATCCGTTTAAAAGAGGCGAGACTCATCGTGTGCATTTGACCGGAGCCAAGATGGCTGCTCGACGAGCACGGTTGGCTACGCACGGTGCAGCGAATATACATTGGCTACAGGGTCCTGATTTTTTTTTGTAAATCCTTTATATTAAGTTCGCTTGCTTGGGTGATTGCGTGCTTGCTTGCTTGCTTACGACCGTGCAAATCTTTCGGTCGTTTTTTAACCCACGTCCCGTGAACCAATCGAGCTGACATTTTGCACACAGACTCGTTGTGCGAGAAAATT